ATTTCATTATGTATTATTCACTAATAGGTATTTTAATTTGTTGTTGTTGAGTATATCTAGAAGTCTAACGATTAAGAGATTTCTAAGTACTAACAGTATTTAATTTTAATATAGTGTCATCAAAACTTATATAATATTATATGATATAATAATTCGAATATATTTTCAATGGGTTAGAGTCGAGGTGGGTAGTATGAACAAGTAATATGTACATACACTCGGTTCGATCCTAACACAGAATATTATATTTTTTTTTTTTGCGTTATAGTAAGTTTTTATATATAATAACATGTGATAAATGATAATAATATTAATCGATAGTAATATTAATTGATAATAATATTAAAATATATGTTGATTACTTACCGGATCATATGGTGGTGGGGTAAATATACATCGCATACTTGTGTGATCGGGTTCAGGTGAAGGGGTAAATATACGTCATACACGTACGCAATCAAGGATCACGAATATCGATTAGGTTAGTGTGATAATTGATAATAATATTAATTGATAATATTAAAATATATATTGATTACGTACCGGATCATATGGTGGTGGGGTAAATATACATCACACACGTACGCAATCAAAGATCACGAGATTACGAGCCAAGGATCACGGGGATCACGAGGATCACTAGGGATCACGAGGATCACGTGATCACCAGCAGAACTCTCTATTTCATACTACTATTGCGCACCTTAAATATTTTTTCTTTGAGCAAACACAAATAACGATAACAATAATAATAATTAATAATATAATTCGTATAGTAAAAAAATATATACGGATATACATCACAGCATCTTATTATAACGCTTCAAAAAAAAAAATCAAGTTCTTATAACTTTTTAGCACAAAAACGTGGTTCTAATGTCAGCAAATAATTATTTAAAGATATTTCATTATTTTTATATTTTTCCCAAGTGTTAATTATAACTGCAATATTCTCTTCTTGCTCTTTACGAGGCTTGTTAATATTTTGTTGTTTTATACTACATATATATTTTTTTACTATACGAATAGCACTATAATAGTGCCATATGTTTTTGGTTCACATTTGTTAGTCTTTATAAATTGCCTTTCATCACTTTTACTTGAGACATTCTGCACTAACTCCATTTCTTTTACGGAAAGAACTGTAATATACTCAAACAAATCTTTGAAATGCATTTATGAAGTGGTTTAGGGCCTTAAGACCGTGATGGTATTACTATTATCCTATTATCCTATTAGTGTTTGTGCACTACAGGTGTTGAGTGTGTCGACGGAGTCGTTTATCCACGTAACTGTGTATGTATGGATACCAATAGTAAACTAAAATTGTTTTCCTATTATATTCTCAGTATGGCTTTGGAAATTATTGTTTTCTAAAATATTTTCCAAGTTATTTTGTTTGCTCATTTGTCATTACATATATTTTAACCCTCCCTGTAACGTAAATTGTTTGTGAAAGGTGATTTTAAACACTAATATATTTGAAAAAAGACTAAGGAATTCAACGCCTAATGAACATATTGAATCTTTTATGCTTATCAGTTACGATCATCGAAAATTAAATTTTCACGAGGTTATTGTTATAGATAACCATATTATTATTATTGCATCATTTTAAATATATAAATTTTTTTTATAGGTATGCCTAAGGTATTTTAGGTTATTGCCTATAGGTATATTTATATAAGTAGTTATATTATTATAAATGAAATAAAAATATTAATTAGTTTTTTCAACGATAAATTATAAATTATTGGCCATTGCAAACGAAAAACGAATCTGAGCAAAGATTATCTGGTAGCATATATTACTAAGTGTGTTGTATATTGGTATTAAAGTAAATTATTTTACTATAAGTAAGTAAGTAGAGCTGAATCAGTTTTCATTGCATTTGAAAATTGTATTGTATGTATAAAATATAATAATACCTATAAATATGTTAAAAGCTTCAATTACCAACGAATTATATTTTTAGATTACAACAAAATAACTAAAATCATTATTCTTCGATTAAATATCTAATTTCATACAAATTTGAACTAAAAAAGTTTATTAAAAAAAACTGTGTCTACCTAAGTATATGCGTCTTTAATAATATTATCATAAAAATGTTACCTACAATAACAATTTATATGGAAACGAGTGTTAATTTTTCAACAATTGGCCAAGCGGAAAAAATATTTATGACAAATCTCGTTATACATTTTTAATCATTGGCTAAAAAAATTGAACATTTTATAAATTTTTAACTACAAAATAATTTGCAAATTTTCGGAGCTTTGGTGAATTTAGTAAAAATTTGAATTTTAAATGCTTATTAAAAAATGAGTGTCTATGTATTTTTAATATTTTTAAACCACTATTATAACAACTTATGAGGAACCTTGTGTTAAATTTTCTAAAACTTTTTAACTCAACGAAAGAATTGTATTGGCATTCATAGAAAAAAAACAAAAAAATTGAAAATTGAAAATATCTATTAATACGAGTATATAATAGTTCAAAAGAAATCAAAATATTTTAAAAATCTGATCACGTATGAAAAATAATAAATAAACATTTGTACCTATTAGGTATTACTGGATATTGGGTATTTTTCGTTTAAATATCTAATCTATAAATGTCTAAAAAAAAGTGTGCTATAAGTATTTAAGATCTTTTGATTTCAGTTATGTTATTTATTAGTCACTAAGCATTCAATTTTCAAGCATTAACTAAAAAAAATTATAGTAATTTTTTTTTACATTAAAGCAAAATTGTATGCTTATTTCTTAATTCTTATATGTACAATAATTTATGATTTATTACTGTACAATGTACATATAAGAAAAAATCATTCTGACTCGATAGTAAATTCAAAATTTAAAAATAATAGTTCCAATCGAACTAGAGAGATAGATTTTTTAGTTCGAAGTATTCAAAGTTTTATTGAAAATTCACATGTATGAATAATAGTTATATATTGGA